GATTATATAATTCATTAAAATGAGCCTAGCTCTTCTCACTCAAAACTTGACTGAGCTCAAGCACTCAACTGTATACTGAAACCCCAGCTTATATCTAGGGTAAACCACATACCTGATAGTATCAACATCAAACACTTTTTGGTCATTTTTTTTTTTTTTTTTTTAAATAAGCATCGCACAGACCGAAAATGTGCACATTTTTGTGACACATACCAAGTTATAAAAGCAAACTCATTCCAAACTGCAGAAGCACAGTGTTTTGCTCAGTGAAACATAAAATTGTGTCTTATCAATCCCCATTATGTGCAGTAACAGGTACTGCTCATCTGTATAATAATGTCAATGAGGATACATGCAGTTCCAGATTTAATATGTGTGTTTATAATAAATTGTGCCATGTTAAACCTTTTTTAATTCAGTGCCATCCATGCCTATTCATGTGCAGACAGTGTGGTCAGAAAATGGCTTAAATTATTAGTTAGGCTTTTTCAGTGACTCAGAAGAGGTCTCACTTTGACACACACCACCTTTCGCTGCTTGTCTGTGGCAATTCAACATCTTTCTATCAATTATATTGACTTCAACAGCCTTTAAGAAGTCGTCCAACACCAAAACTGAACACGAAATACAAACCCTTTATAAAACTGCACAAACGCCAAGTTAGGAATGTTACCCCTGAGATAAAACAAACAAACAAACAAAAAACAAAACTGAAGACATTGTCTCTTTAAACACTGTAGGATCTGATATGATAAGAAGTCGTCGGATAAGGAGCATTTTTGTACAACAAGCAAACGCTCAAAGGTGATGAGGAGAACTTTACTTGGGGCATCTGAGGTTAAGATCCGGTGACTACAAGGCAGTCACGACCACCACGGGAGCAACCAAAAACATGCTAGCGTTAGCTTTTGTTGACCGAAGCTTGGGCACAAAGCAGCTGCATCCAGCTAACGACTGCTAGCTTGTTGTGCTCAACTCTGTCGCCTTTTCTTCGTCGACCACAGACAAAAGTAACGTTGATGTCGACTAAATTTAACAGAAATTGGAAAAAGAAACGAAGTCATTTATCGTAGTTAACAACCGAAGGAGGACTGGCTTTAGAGACAACTTTAAAAGAGAGGGCCACCTATAGCAAACAGGTTACCTATGGTTGCAGTTAGTTGTCCAACTCATACATGCGACTAACGCCTACGCCAAAACACTAAAAAAGGCTTCACCCCTTTGTTTCCCAGTGCTAGTGTTAAACATGTCCATGGCTCATAGAAAACTTGTCGAGAAACCTTAAAAACACTACCCCTCCTTATAGTCAGCTTCAAACCGGGTGCAAAGCAAAGGGGAGCCCAACACACACAAAGGCTCGGTCTATTCAATGAAACGGAACTATTCTAGGGAACTACAATGATGCACAAAAAGTGAAAATGATAGGTTACACAACCACCCAGGTTCTGATTTTTTTCCCTTTTAGCTTTCAACTAACGTTAGCTGTGTGTATTTGCACTGAATAATGCAGTAAATGTGTTAATATTTGCTTATATAGCACCCACGAAATGTTCAATTGAATGTGCCGTTCCGTTGAATAGTCTGAGTCATGAAAGCCAAGGCGGCGACAAACCCCCAACATCAGACTGGAGAAGGATAAGGTTGGCTCAGCCTTACGTGAAAAGGTAAATTCCCAACAAACTCAGCTTACATTGAAGTAAAAAGACGAAGAGGCAAATATAGCTTACCTTCCAGCCCTATGAATAGAGAGTTATCCTCTTCATGTCCAAAATAAGGGGGATGAAACGTCGCACTTATCACCCAGCTAGCTAGCAAGCTAATGGAGCTAGCTAGCCTCTCTCCAATGAAGCAACACCGCAGTTCTCAAAAATGCACAACGCATATCATTATATTCCAGCGCTGCAATGTTATTCCCAACTTTGCCCATTTGATGGAGAAGCGGATGATGTAAATCCAACAGAAAACCGCTTCATTGGCGCACGCATCTGCGGGGATCACTTTCCTTTCTCCAATGACAGCTGTCGTCGCACGAGTTCGGCTTATATAGCTAGTTGGTGTTAGCCACCCAAGTCTACAGCCAATAATTTTACCATTAACGTGTAAACATAACCACCTCGAAATCCAAGCGGCTGCTAAAGTCAACGCTCCGTGGGCCAAACATTAAGTAGGAATCCTCGGGGGAAAGTGTAGCGACCCGCAAAGCAATAGGAAAAAAAAGCTGGATGCCGACCGCTGGGGGTTGGCAACTGGTTCTATTTTCTTCAGCTGCGACAAGCTGCGGGACCAAGCGGCCAGTTTAGGAGAGACTCACAGTCATCCTGCCACGCAGTAACAACCGCCTCCAAAAGACATGTAAAAACAAACATTAGCTCGCCAAAAACAACATCTCGCCTGCCGCGCTGACCGAGCTGCAAAATGACTATGAAATAGCACAAAATTAAGTTGAAGATGACGCTTCGGGGTGCTCTGTAACGGTGGCCATATCTAATGATAAGTGGCACCGAAGCACAGCCCCCCTCTCCAAGCTCCTCAAAAACTAGATCCGCCTCCTCCTCCCCCTGAACAGCACAACTACGGCGCACAAATCTTTCAGAATCGACGGGGCTCGCCAAGAAAGGGATGTTTCGCGAGTGTGAGGCGTGTTTAAAAAGACCGTTGAGAAGACGCGATGAGAAATGACAGATAAACCATTTTACAATTTCTTCAAAATACTCTCTGACCCTGCGGAGGGATATAAGCATTTAGTAAATAAAATAATGGCTAGCGCGGGCCCGAAAAGATGGAGTCTGGATTTTTACCCAGTTGGAGTTGGAGCTGGTAAAAACCATTGGTGCTTGAGCTCATGCAAATCTTTGCCAGCTGTAGCTATACAGAATCCAACAGTCGGAAGGCTTCCTCGTAGCCGGGGGAAAATACACAAAAATGGATTAACTTTAATACGCCATGGAGCTCGTGGTTTAGGCTGGGTACGAATGTACCTCAGCTGCTCCCATACGACGGCGTCTCTACGCCTGCTTTACACCCCCCCTAAACACACACACGCCCAGTATACAGATTTAAGCGTTGCATTATGTGTTAGATAAAGGTACTCAACAAACCGACCGACCGACCGACCGTACATTCAGGGGTTAACTTTCGGAAAAGCCCCCAGGGGTCGGCTTTCAGCGGCTGTACATAATATATAATAGAGGCAGAGAATGTTGTGTCTCTGGTTATATTTTGCTTTCGATTTTAATGCTCACTTAACTACAACTTAGGAGACTTTCTTCGAGTGAAGCCCCTCAGAAAATTAACTGGAAATAAACGCAGCCCTGTTCCTTTAAATGGTAAACCTTGGCACCTCCTTCCTAAACTGAGAGCTCCCCCTGCTGGCTAATCTAACGTGTTCATTATTATTAGTATTATTAGTATTGACAGCAATCATTTCGAAATAGTTCACATAAATCGCGCAGTGAAAAAAATGGTTAAGTGGCAAATGAAAGCAAGCACTCGGAAAATCAGAGAAATATAATGACTGCAGAGGCTTTTATGGTGTGTATAACGCAGATATGTGCAATTGTGTTTGCAGTAATTAACTCTTAACTCCACTGATCATCAGTGAGAGTATTTGCATGTTAGACAAGCCACCATCACTGGTATCAACAGACCAAATGAGGGAGTGTGCTTTGTAAGAATGGTTTTCGTCCTTAAAGTAGAATTACAGAGACAATGCAAAGCAGCACAGAAGCTGTTTTCCAGGGCTTCTCCTTTACATAATCACTCATTAGTTTGTTTACTCTCAATAGTGAGCTCTGGGCTACAGAGTCAGAAATCTAGAATAATTTGTCTAACAGCACAATAGAAGTTGTGTATTATAATACGTGTGTGTTATCACATATGCAAGAGACAGCTAAACAGGCAACCTAAAAGCATGGAACCTGATAATGCTAACAATACATCAAGCAAATATAAACAAGAACGGGGGGACTAACCTGAACATCTACAATATATTATTATTGCTAAGGATTGTCTATTGCATTGGAGTCACACTGGGTTAAATATGTACACTTGGGTTTTAAGGGGTATTTATTATTTTCTTCTTTTTTTTGGGTTGTATGGAAGCCCCTAACGCAATTTCATTGTTCTTGACAATGACAATAAATAAATACTACTACTACTACTATAGGGAAAATACAAATGGGAGAGTAGATTTCACATGAATTTAAGACAGATGATAGGTTTGTAGTGGTCAATATATGGATATATGGACATTGTGAAGCACTGCCTTCAAGTACAGTCTTTATTTCCAAGCACTAAAATGATCACTCTGAAGGAGAAGCTAGTTTTAATGGTGTGATGCTTCATTTTTAAATGCACCATTGACTCATTTATAATAATGTTTTTGTCTGTTGAGACCATTGAGCAGGATGGACCTTTGGCTGCAGGACAGGGGGAAAAAAAGAAGCAGTTGCCAGTCACATGCTTTCCAGATGGTACTGCACAGTCTATCAAAATCTGATGGCACTTTTATTCATTATTCTAACAACTTTTACAGGATCCCCTGCACACTTGCTGTTTTTACCTCTCTCTTGATCTCCTCCATATATATTTGTTGACAATTTGAGTCAGAAATGTCAAATTTGCTTTAATCACTCCTGTTGCCAGTCATTTTAAGTCTAGTTCTTGTGTAATTTTGCATACTTCATTTTTCTCTCCCTGTTCATTAACAACTACCCTTCAATTTCTGAGGGTTCAGTGAATAGTAGATGGATAAACTGCAGGATTAGATGCATCTCTCAGGTCCTTTGTCAGGTCTATGCTGGATTTGTTCTTGTTTCTTAACAATATAGATTTCAGATACTGTTTATCTGCTGCAGAGTTTGTTTGTTTGTTTTTAGGTCTGCCACTTCTTCTTCTGTCCTCCACTTGTTCTGTTTCCTCAAATTTTTTGAAGAACAAACTGCACACCATACAGACACATTCCAACCTTTTGGCAACTGGTCTTTGAGGATTTTGCTTAGATTCAACAAAAATAATAAACAAAAAATGTGTTTTTATGTCAGGCTGTTAGGAACAAAGTTTGGAAATATACAATTTATACCTGGCTCTTTGGAAAGTTTACATTAGTTCATCCCTTGAGTTAGATGCCTTTTTTATACATGAACAATTCATAGGTGGGTATTAAGTGCTGTAACAAACAATAACATTCTTCTGGGCTGAAAGTGATTGAAAACATTGACTGACCTCAAGAAAATGTACAAAAAAGTTTTGTTCCTTGGAAGTAAAACAAAGAAATGATGGGTTTCTGATGAGTTTTTGCTTATACACATATATTTATTCAGGACTGCATGGTGGGATGGTGTTAGTTCAAGGTTTATCTCCATCTTTCTGAGTGGAGTTTGAATATTCTCCCTGCGTTTTTGTGGGTTCTCACCAGGTAATCTGTCTTCCTCCCACAGTCCAAAACACGCAGTTAGGGGGATTAGGTTAATTGGTAATTCTAAAGTGCTCATAGATGTGAGTGTAAATGGTTGTCTGTCTCTTTGTGTAAGCGCTGTGATAAATTCGCAACCTATCAACAGGTTCTCACTCCCTAAGCATAATATTTTACGCTAGGTGACAAATCGTCAACATTTTATGCTTCCGGGTACCCAACACGTTCCTAAATAACGAGATCGGGAAAATGAGAGAACATGAGAACCGTTTGGACTCAATCTACACATGTTCGTTCATTTTCTTAAAATTCTTTGGAAAACACTATTTTACGTCATTTCAGTGCTGGTTAAGGTTAGGAATAGGGTTATGAATAGGTTATGGTTAGGGTTAAGGATAAGGTTTGGTTTAGGGCTGGAATACATGGCTGGAACGTGTATTACCGCGGGACCGTCATTCCACTGGAAATCATCCATAACCCGGGGCGCACCATAAGAACACGGAAGGTCACCTTTCGCTTTCCTCAGGAATGCCGCGGGACGTGACAACGCCCCGGGAATGAGAACCTATACCAGGTGTACCCTGCCTCTGTGGAAGCTGGGACAGGCTCCAGTCCCCCTCCGACCCTGAATTGGATAAATGGAAGAAAATGGACTGATGGAAGTGTAGGATTTCAGCTTTAATTCGTAGGGTTTAGCAAACATTTTGCATTAACTGGTTAGGAATTAGAGCCGTATTTATATGTAGTCCTTCATTTTCAAAAGGCTCAAATGTAATTAGACAAACTAATATAGTTTTAAATGTATGAAAAAAAATTTATTCAATAAGTGCCTGAGGTCCAGAACCCATGAAAATCCCCAAATGTTGTGTTTCCTCTCTTGAGATGGAAGGTCTTTCCTGTAGCTGCTTTCAGTTGCTGTTTAATTGTGAGTCTTTCTGACTTTAGTTTTGTCTTAAGTGACTGAGAAGCTGTTCTATTGGGTTGAGATCAGGTGACTCACTTGGCCATTGAAGAATATCATATTTCTTTGCCTCAAGAAACTTTTGGGTTTCTTTTGCAGCATTCTTTGAGTGATTATTATTATTTGCACTGTGAAGCATTGTCCGCTCTTTTCCAGCATTTGGCTGAGTCTGAGCAGTGAGTATAGCCCTGTACATTTCACATTTCATCCTTCACAATTTAACCTGCAGTCCCATCATCAATAAACACTAGCGACCTGGCTCCAGTAGCAGCCATACATGCCCATGCCTTAACATTTCCCCCAACATGTTTGACAGATGAGACACAAACAGGCTACACTTTAAATCCTTTGAACTTTTCCTTTACTTCTCCGTAATTACTGGGTACTACATAATCTTAGTTTTATCTGTTCAAAGAATTTGTAAAAAAAATTTTTTCCAGAACTGGACATGTGTTGCTGAGATAGCTTAACTTGATGTATATTGGACCAGGTTTTGTGAAGTCAAATTTCTGGTCAGCAGTATTTCCTGACAGCATGTAAGGATGAGACACGACACTCATTGGTATCGCTTTCTAAAATGTGACCTTTGTGTGGGTGCACGTTCACACCGTTAACCACCCATTGACCTAATTACCTTGAAAACACAAAGCTCCTGTTTAGCATTGCATCACTGATACTCCTGTTGGCCTAATTCCTACGTTTACAAACCCAGCACTGACTGATCCACAGAGACTCAAGACTGTAATTACTAGAGCGACTCTGTACTTAATACTGATTTAGTATGTTTTTTTTTTTGACACTGTAATTTTTATCGATAGTTTTGTCACAGTTTAAACATAGACATGTATTGCATTACAGGAAAAATAACCATGCAAGCACAGAGTCAAAACAAACAGAACTAAAGCGAACAAAAGGTGTGGGTGCCAATTCTAATCAACTACCGTATGCATGCCTGCCTTTAGATTTAGTATGTTTTAGTATGCAATGAAAGCAACAATAACAGTAACATCATGTTTTATACTGGAAGTGAATTTCAATTTAAAGAGATCACGCAGCTTTTGTCAAAAATCATCCCTCTGGCCAGCATATAGCTTGACTCATCATGCCACTAAAAGTACATGCATTT